GAAAACTTGAGGGGAAGATATAGAGATTTCCCATATGCCCCCTGCCCCCACACATGCATAGCCTCCCCCACTATCAATATCCCCCGCTAGAGCGGTACATTTGTTATAACTGATGAACCTACATTGACACATCATTGCCACTCAAAGTCCATAGTTCACATGACAGTTTACACTTGATGCTGTACATCCTATGGGTTTGGACACAGGTATCTATCATTTTGATATTATACAGAGTATTTTCACTGCACTAAAAATCCTCTGTGCTTCACCCATTCATTTCTCTCCCCTGTCCTTATGTATATATTTTTAAAGATTTTATTTGTCAGAGGGAGAGAGAGAGAGCACAAGCAGGGGGACCAGGAGGCAGAGGGAGAAGCAGGCTCCACACTGAGCAAGGAGCCCGATGCAGGACTCGATTACAGTCATGACCCTGGGATCATAACCTGAGCCAAAGGCAGACACTTAACCAACTGAGCCACCCAGGCGTCCCCGTCCTTATAGTTTTAATGTAATTATTTAGGCATATTTTTCTGTGAATGCGTAGAGTTAATCATTATCTATATTATTCTCCAAAACAGTGAACAAAAAGCTTAGAATGTGTTTAATTCCCTATCTCTTCATCTCCCATAAGATATTATCCTGGAGTTAAATTCTAGATTGTTGTTAGCATTTTTAAATTTTACCAAGTACAGCTTATTTAGACTTAACAAAGAGTTATGAATTTGGTTTCCTGACTCTCTCCTGCTTCTCTTATCTCATATTTTTTTTCTTGATGTCTATAGTAATGTTTGCTATTCTTTCCAGCTGCTCAGCATCCAATCTCTCTTCCTCTATTTTAGAAATTTCCTGCCTCATAATTTAGACTTTAATCTACCTACCACTAAAGAATTCAAACGTAACAGATATTTGCTATACCAGGCTGCTCTGGAAGCAGTGGCCAGGTGTATCAGTCAGACACCCTCACCCCAGGGATGGCAAACATCTGTGTTGACAATGGGAGGTGGAAGCAATGGCAGCCACATCTGGTCTTCAGAGTCAAGAGGAGTGGCCGTTCCAGTGGGAGTGTCCCCTCCATGTGTTTCTAAGATGTTGCCATGTTTATGCGTTCATAACTTGTGTCCACAGTCATTGTACTGCTGCAGAGAATTTCCATTGTATGACAATGGTACTTTATTTTTCCATTTTGCTGCTTAAGGAACATTTGGGCTGTTTTCAGGTTTTTTGTTTTTTTAATTACAAAAAGAATGCCACTCCCAACGGTCTTTTTCTTTTTTTTTAAGATTTTATTTTTTTATTTCAGAGAGAGTGAGAGAGAGATCAGGAGCAGTGGGGAGGGGTAGAGGGAGAAGCAGAATGCCTGCTGAGCAGGGAGCTAGATGCAGGGCTCCATCCCAACACCTTGGGATCATGACCTGAGCCCAAGGCAGACGCTTAGCCGACTGAGGCACCCAGCTGCCCCCAAGAGTCTTGAAACACATTTCCCAGTTCACATGTTCCCTGCTGGACATGAATATCCATACTCTATCCCAGAAACTTAAATCAGAATATTTAGATAAAGGGTCATAAAATTTATTGAAATAAGATTATCCATATAAAATAAATATCTGGCATTATTATAATCTTTATTATTTGAATCCTAGGTCAATCAACTGAAATCTACTACCAAAGCCATTACTGCCTTTGCAGTAGGGAGGAAACATAGATCTTTATATCCATTTTAGCAAAAGTACTATTCACTCCTCTTTGGGAGGATCTGAGGTCTTTTTTTTCCTTTTCCCTTTTCTTTTCTTCTTCCTTCCCCTTCTCCTCCCCCCCCCCCCTTTTTTTCCTCATAAATAATGCCATCTATGCAGATACCTCCTACGAATCAGGCATGCATTCCCTGAGAGCATTCTGATAAAACTGATGCTTTGGGCTCATTTGCATTTCTAATGGGAGAGGGGCAGGACGATCCTTCAGCTGAGTCCTAGTACAAGTTGGGCTTGGGAAAGTGCTTCAGGCAATAGTATTTTTTTCAATTCTGTAATGGGAAAAACCTAAGATGTACTTAGCCAAACACTCTGAGCCCTGAGGCACTTGAAGCAAAATGTAATCCATATGTTTCTGATTCATTTCACTCACCTCAAAGACTCTTCAGAGTGAGGTTTCACTGCTAAGAAGTGTTCAAACTGTTCAACTTTTCTTTCTCCACAATAAGGAGGACTTATCTACTGAACCCATTTCCCAAAAGACAGTAGTAACATTCAGGCTCAGCACTCAGAACTCCAATTTCCAGAGTCCTGCATGCTACTGAATATATCCTGTATCTTTAAAATCTGTCCCTTTCTTTAAAAAGAAGCACCACAGCATCTTAATAAAATGTTGGCAAAAAGGAAGAATTACGCTAAGGAACGATTTTGTTTTAAAGACCGAGAGTTTCTTAGAGTTAGAAGGTAGTTGATTCCACACTTTAATTTGGTTCAATTACCTACTCATTTTATATGTTGACTCCACTTAATATTTTTTCTCTAATATGCAATGAACTTTTCCTTCCTTCCTTCCCTCCAGAGCCCCTCCCTCCCTCCTTCTTCCTTTCCTCCTTCTTGCTTTCTTCCTGTGACACATAATTTGGCAATTACACATCGCAGGCAGAAAATGCTTTGGTCCATTGTTAGAACATGTTACAGATGATCTGATTTGCTTTTGCCCCCTTAATTAGAAAATGTAGTCTTTGTATGCATATAGAGTAAAGTATAAAGATGTGTAAAGAACAGAGCAGATCCTCAAAACGTTTTGGCTGTCCAGAGAATGAACGGAACTATCATCGACGATAGTAAGGAAGGCCCAGGATGGGATGTGAGTTAAAGCAGGAATCTGGCAAATATAGTTAGAGGATCCAAACTCTGTGAGTGAGATTGCTGACTGCTAATCCCAGGGCAAAAACTGCTGGTTTTCTGGCCCATTTTACATAATCTGCTATTCATATTATATTTTATAAAACTCTCTACATTTGTCATTTTGTTGAATAAAGAATAGCCAGGAGAGTGTTGACATGTCCACTTTTACACCTGCATGCACAACTGGTCAGAACATTTTGATTAACTGACTAGTCATTTCACACTGTGAGTCAATTTAGTCAAATAACTAGTTAATTCCATCAGCCAGGCTGAGTGTTTTTTAAAACCGAATTGAATTTCAACTGAATCGAAGCCTGTCAAGTTAATTGAACTAGTTATAGCTTAAGTAAAATAATTTATTCTAGTGAATACCATCCTTGAGGTTTTTTGAATTGACAAAATTTATATTACTGGCTTGGATCTTCCAGTTGCTCAGGTCTAACCGTTTTCCATTCTATCTAGAGCCATTATGACATATGGTAAATGAAATGCAATTTTCCCCAGTAGCTTATAAAAAAAAAGGGGGGGGCTAAAAATAACTTTTACTTCACCTGCAAAACTTTGCTACCCACATTTTCCCTTAGGAAGAAAAACTAGTCAATAAAGAATGGGACAAAAAACCTGTGGAGAGGAAAAGGCAGAAAAGAAAGCCTGCAGATTCTTTTAAATCAAGCCCAAATCCTGTCCTGAAGTAATCTGCTTCCAGTGTGGATGGGTTATGGGAAGCAGCCTTGAAAGTTTCCTCAGGTTCCATATTCTAACTGGAAAGAGTGTGTGGCCCTTATGTAATGTTTCCATGAAGTGGAACAAATATTATTTAGAATCATACTGCTTTCTGCATAACATTCCCTTGTCTTATTATATACAATATGCATACCTAGTTTGAAACTAGTCCCCAGATGATCAGGGTTATATTAAATTGTTTTGCAATATTCTTGATAAATTACCACATTTAGAAAGGCATCTTTGTAGGTTTCTAGATGTTAGTTTGACAGAATAGCAAATATTGGGTCTGACTAAATTTAAGACCATTTTCCTCATATATGCCCAATGCTTCTCCAGCCTACTCTCTTCCCAATACATTTAACTTACAGAAAAATGTTTAAATTCCTCATGGATAAATTCAAGCAAGGCCTTGCCATTCTGTCTGGCCCTAGTTCCCACCCCATTGGATATTCTGCTCTGGGCATAAGCACATTAGTCTTTGTGTTTCTCATCCGGACCCTTTGCTGTAGCTCATGTCCTCCATCTGGTCTCTCCCTCCTCTCTCCTTTACTCATATGACTCCTACCCATCTTTATGACTTTGGTCATATTTCCCTTCCCTAAGACAGAAGTATTTTCTTATCCTTTAGGTCCACAGACTCTGCTTTCCCCTGAAATATTTTAGCATTGGTGTTTGTACTCCTCATTTGGTGATGACACACTACCCATTATGGTTAGACATGATCTCACAAATTCTCATCTATCTCCCTCAAACTAGACTGCAAGTTCATTGGGAGAAGAATCCATGTCATATGTTTTAGATAAATTCACGGTAACAAACCCTAGTATTTATTATCATTATCATTCTTATTAAAAGTATTATTAATAATACCTTACATTTGGATAATGACATACTATTGGTGGTAGAATTATCTACAAAAGAAAGTTCTACTCATTCTAACAATTGCTTTTTGAAAAAGTTATGACAAAATAATCACCATTTTATGGAGAAGGAAGCAAAAATTTGAAAATCTGTCATTTATCCAACTTCATATAGTAAGTGTGAGAGCCAAGATTTAAAGCCCAACTTTTGGGGGAGGGGTTGGTGGTAGGATTGAGCTTCAAAGAAATAAAAATTCATTATGACTCCAAAATAAGTTTGATAAAAAGAAGCTATTTAAAAATTACTGAATGAGATATACATATCTTGCTCATTGGAAACTACTGTTATTCACTAAGCATGTGTTCTCTATTTCCAAAATGTTTACACACATGATACCATTTTATTTTCATAAAGTTCCTGAAGAACAAATATTATTATGCCCTTTTTATAAATGAGGCTCAGGATTTTAAGTAATTTATCTGAAGTCATACAATAGAAAGTGGTAACACAAAGTATCTAACCTTAAATCTCCGGATTCCAAAGCACGTGCTCTTTCTATTATATTGTGCTGCTTCTCTAGAACCCTAGAACAAGAGGAAAAGGAGGGAAAATCTTAAATTGTGCATAAAATCTACTCACAGACACTACAGATATTCCTATAATGAAAAGTAGGTACATAATCTATATTAGATTCATGATTGTATTTTTAATTGCCATGTCTTACTCATTAATTTTAGTTGACTTATATATTACCTATGCTACAAAAGTGATGCAGTGTTTGCTTCTAGCTGCAATGAAGAATAAATTAGATTGGTAAGTTAAAATGTTTATTGTAAATCCTAGAGCAACCACTAAAACAAAAAAGAGAAAAAGAGGTACAGCTAATTAGCCATGAGTGGAAACAAAATAGATTTAAACAACTCAGTCCAAAACAAGATAGGAAAAGTAAAAAGGAACACAGAACAGATAGGATAAATAGAAAGGAAATAGCAAGATAATATATTTATACCTAAACATACTAATAATTTCAATAAATTCATTAAATGCTCTAAACATTCCAAATAAAAGACACAGATTGCCATACTGGATTAAAGAGCAATTATGTGTGGTCTAGTGAAATCCAATTTAAATACAAAGATACAGTTTAAAAATTAAAAAAAAAATGGAAAAAAGATAATGAGGTATCTCTTTATGTGTTCTTTATTTTTTCTAGCTTCATTTCCCAACCTCTGGGCCTGCTGTGGTTTTTAGTCATGCAGGTTCATGGGGTAGTGCAGGGCTTAAAATATTATTCAGGCCCTCTGTTTAGTTATTAACCAATCTACTATTCAATAAAATTAACAAAGACAAGACTTGCTAGCTGTCCAGTGTTGAACCACATAAACAGGTCATGATTTTTCTAGGGAAATAAGGAAAGAAATATTTATATAAGTGCTTTTATTTAATTTAAATAAATTATACATATTCATTGTAGAAAACTTGGATAGCTTCATAAATACAACAAAATTTAAATTACCCAATATCATGCCATCCATAAAGAACTTCTTTAGATACTTCAGATATTTTTCTATCACCAAAATTGAGCATATATATTTTATAAAAATAGAATAAGATTTTTTATTTTAAAATACATTGTGAATATCTTTTCACATTAATATATCTTCTATAAAAATCTAACGACCATTAGATCATATGGGATGCTGTAGCTTATTACAATAATAATGACAGCCAATGTTTGTCAAACACTTTCTATGTGCCAGGCACTGTGCTAAGAGCTTTGCATTATTGATGAAGGGAGTTGCTCAACCTTCATCACTGTGTAACTACCTGAGTAACAGTATCAATTGCCATTACAACATTCTTTTGTATTGTCAACAGAGCAAGTTTTCATATTTTACAGTAAACACTAAGTCTTTCTCTAGCATCAGCATAGCATGATGCTACTCCTCCTACCTCTAAATTGTTGTACCTTTCTTTTCCTACTTCACGTGCCCACCCAATACAACATTCCAACCACTGAATGCAGTATGTTCCTCAATCGCAACAGAAATACAACTTTATTTTACACATTGATCTAAATCTGACAGCACTCTGATGAATGTTTTAAGCATTTCCACATTGCACTGTATGTAGTACCTTCTTATCCCATACTTTGTATGACTAAATCGTGTCTACATTTTTTTGCTATTTTGAGAAATGCTGTGACTGGGTATATAAGTAAATTGTATCACGATCACGGGGTGACTTGACTGATGTCCAGATGTTCTCCCTCACTCTCAAGACCTGAGCTATGTGCCAAGATACTTATTCGGTGTTGAATATGAGAAAGAGTCTTACTTGGTGATGTGCTGGAGCCAGCTAGGTCAGCTTGGAAGAGTTGATTGTGTGCACATCTTTCCAACTCAGCATTCAGTTACAGCACCCTGAAATCAGCCATGGGGGTAGTATTTACACCACTGAAATCAGCAAACACTATCAATCAGGAAGATCTTTTCCTTTGCAGGGCCTGTGATTAAACATTTACCAGAACATCCCTGGCCTTATTGATGAGTTAATACAGGTATCTTATATGCAGCAACACACAGTGACTCCGTTGGCATAATTCCTAATCAATATAGTGTTGTCTACCAGCCAAGCAGTCTGCAACATAGCAATGCTGAATATATAGTGTGGCCCAAGGTGACACAGCCTGTAAGCGGTAGAGTCTAGATTCTAACCCCAGGTAGTCTCTAGCTCCAAGGGCCATGTTCCTCTGCTCTATTTTGCTGCTTCTAAGGAGGGCAAGTTCAGGAGACAGACTGCCTGGTTTTATCACTTTTAAGCTCCATGACTCTGGGCAAGATACTTCTCTACTCCAAACTTGCCTCATCTGCTAAAAAGGAATAAGAAGAGCATCTATTTCATTGTGATTTGTGAGGATTAAATGAAGTAGTGGATGCAAGGAACTCCAGATATTGCCTGGCACATAGTAAGTGCTCAATAAATATCAATAACTATTAATATATTTTAAAAGCACATAAACCAGTATCCTTTATCTTTTATCCCATGGTGTTCTTTTTAAGGTCAAGAATGTTTGGTAGTTTTGTTTTTTAAAAAACCTTAAATTTAATTGAACACAGAAGTGTTATTATTTTTTTTTTAGTAGTTGATACATATTTCGGTATATAAGTTATGGTTACATTAAAGAAGAACTATTTACCACTTCACGTAGTTGATCAAGTCTCCTTAAAACCACTAACTGAATTCATAGGAGCTTCAGATATGTGGAGAAGCGATTTCCTTTGGAGAAATTACAGTATCATGACATGACTACCTTAATTTTGACTAATCATTAGGAATCTGGTAGTTGCAACCTTGGACAAATAGATTTTTTAAAAATTTCTCTTTATGAGGGAGCATGTGCTTTTTTGAAGGAGCATATCTTGATAAATGGAAATACTAGCTTTCAGCAGAGACTTGACTTTTACCAAATTTGTTTAAAATGAGTTGAATATTCTCTCTCAATTTCTCTGTCAATTAATGGTGTGGAAGAAATTTTAGGGTCATGATTATCTATAAAACAAAGACAGCAACAAAACGAATAGAAGAGTGCCTGGCATATAGTAAGGCTTTGGTACATATTTATCAAATGAATAATGCATCAATTTGAAGTGAACATTGTGGTACAGACATATACACACAAGGATATAACAGCCAATAAAAACATATAAATCTAATATAAAATACAAGTTGTAATACAGATCATCATTGCATTTCTTCTATTTCATGGGGAAAATGTTTTGATGGATGAAATTTTATAAACAGCCTAGTTCTGTTCTCATAGTTATTTGGCATTCTGGACACTGAGTGTAAGATGAAGGGGGTCCTAGCATGAGAGGCCTTTCATGAGAAGACAGAATTACTTTATGGCTATCAATGGTGCCCTTCTTTGCAGTCAAACTTGATGGCAAAGAGCTAGTACTTCTAGCCATGAACATCTACTCAGCTGATACCCCAGGCTATAAAGAGAAAGTCTGAAAAATAAATCCAACATGTGAATTTCTTTATTATTATTATTCTAGAATTTGGATTCCAATGGCATTTTCTCTGCTGCTTTGAGGAAACCTTAAGACAATCTCCAGTTTTCTGTGAAGTTTTGACAATGGAAGCCAATTTCTCCCACTATAAATGCAACCTGCCTTTCAGCTCTGTCCCAGGTTGAAAATGTCAGGCACCTGAAGGTCCTAGCCAGACAGCTAAAGGCCAGGGCCTGACCAGAAAGAGACTTCCTCTCTCCCAAAGTGCCCTATGAGACTTTTTACAGCCCAGCTTTCTACATGGATCAAGCAATGACAAATGAACAGTATGAAGTTGTAAGCTGAAGTCCCATAGAGTCTAATAAGCTCCAGAGTCTGACCTGGTCCAGCCTGCCAGAGACCTCCAAATGCTCACAGACACTCAGGGCTGTCCTGCTTTTCTCACCATCATCCCAGGCCAGATGAACTGGTAAAGAAGAGAAGCTGGAAGCTTTCTTCAGCTGGTTTAGTCAAGGAATAGGGGGGAATACTATATACGTCAAGAAATGTAGGTTCTCACGCACCGTGTCTGAATCGCTGGTTAAGTGAAGTGGCTGTTTACTTTGTCTGGGCCTTGGTCTCCTTGGTTCTCCAAAAAGGTAAGTGAATCACATGGTCTCTAAGGCTTTGCACACCTGATATTTTAATGTTAAAAAAACTACAACTTATAGAGTGTTTACTTTGTGCTGGGGATTGTGCTAACTTCTTCTACATTATTTCTTTTGATTTGCATAATAGCCCTTTCTACTGATATCCTGTCCCTATTTTGTAGATGAGAAAGCTGAGGCTCAGAGAGGTTAGGGAACTTGTCGAGTTCATGAATATTTGGCAGAGTTAGCATTCAACCCCAGGCCAGCCTGTTCCATATTCCACATCCTTACCCACTGCTCTGCACTGTACCTGACACACCCTTGATGATTCTATGGCCCTTGACAGTATCTTAAGATACAGTCACACCAAAGTCTCAGATTATCCTCTGGACACTCCTCTAAGTGTCCCTTTTACAATTTCCCGTCCTCTCACCTACTGGCATTAAAAACCCAGTCCTATATCGTGTTTGATGGCAAATGTCCATGCAACACAAAGAAGCCTTATCTGGTCATTTCATTTGTGCAAGCAAGGCTGTATGGAGTCCGGAAGTCTGTGACTCATCCGTCAGCTCTGGAATCTCTTTCAAAATTTACTGATCTCCTGACAGGAATGGGCAATGGCTTCACAGGAAATGGGAAGCTCTGAACCTTTGCCAAAATCTCAAACCCCAACGAAACCCAAGTGCTTATGATGAGTTTGGGTAATAACTTTGTTCTTCTGGCTCCTGCAAAGTCAAAGATGTCTCTCCTTCCATTCCTCCAGGCCTAATGAATGACAAATTAAAGTGAGCCAAACACGCACCTTGCAGGGAGGGGCTTCCAGAGACTGATTGCTGATCTAATAGCCTTAGGATTTTCTCTGACATAGTTAAGCTTGAGACAGTCCATTTAGAGGAAAAGCAGTTAAAGGAAATTTGATAAAAATCTTCCATTACTGCTAAGGCAGAGGTTTTTAAGAGGCCAAGTGGTGAAGTAGGGAGAACGTGTGCTTTGCTTTCTATGGGACTCAGGCATGAATCTCAATTCTTCCACTTAATGACTGTGTGACCTTAGGCAAGTTATCCAGCTTCTCTGGGTCCTAGTTTCTCCATCGATAAAGCTGGGATAATAATTATTTACCATATAGGTTTGTTGTGAGTATTACATGAATTAATCATGTAAGAACTTGTAACTTTGTCTTCCCCAAACTCCACAAAATTGTGGAATTTTAGAGTTAAGCTTATGATATTGAGTTCAGATAGCTGATATTACAGATTAGAAAGGTGAAGTCCAGGGGATTAAAATCCAAAATCATATAATTAGTTAATGGCTTCCAGTCCATTCTATTTGTGGCGACCTTGACATTTACAATCCTGCCCATAAAGAAAGACTTATCTGTCAATCAACACAATTTATGTAGTAACATTTATGTGCGCAATACTGTGTTAAGAATTGTAAAGGATTAAAAAAAAGAGTCTTAGGCATTATTGACAATAGGCATTAAGACCCTGCTGTGTGCAGTGTTCTGTGCTTTCAGTTTTAGAGGTGATAAATTAAGTGTAAGACATGGTACATGCCATCAAGGAAGTTACCATTTAATTGAGAAAACATTAATTCACATGGAACCAAAAGAAAACCATGAAAGGTGGCTCATGCAAATACAAATGGTATGGTTGAGATGTGAAAAGAGGAGAAAATACATAAGCCCCAGAGGAGTCAGAAGAGGCTTCCTGGAGTACTCAGCCTTGAAGGACTCTCCTGCTGTGAGGAGACTGGCATGGGGGAGAAGTAGCTACAGGCCACTTTCCAGATGGGGGAGTCCCTTCACCTGAAGTCTTGATTGCCTCTTCTGAGGATGGAGATGAATTAGCTCCTCTGCTGAAAGTCATTGTGAAGATTATACAAGATGATGTGCTTAGCACAGTACCTGCCACACAGTGAGCACCTAACCAGATACTCATCCATTATGCGGACCTGCATGCTCACAAAATGCTCTCAGGTAGTTACCATTGTTCTCTCCATATTATCGTGAGGAACCTAGTTAAGTGAAATTAGGTATGGGCATGTGGCTGCATTCTGGCCATTAGTGTTTGAACAAAAGTGATATGGGTAACTTCTGAAATAAAGTGGTAAGGAAATCACTGTACCTTCTCCCAAAGTCTCTTTCCCCATTTGGTGGCTTAATGGAGAGCAATCCAAAAACTAAAAGGAGGGTGGCGTGACAGAATGGAAGGAACCCAGATCCCCGAGTGACTATGTGGAAGGATGCCCCATCAGAAGCAGTCCCTATTGGACGGGAACATGAGTATGAAATAAACTTTCATAGTGCAGTCACCAAGATTCCAGGATTTACTTGTTATAATGCCTAGCACTACGTAACTAATATATTTACTAAGGGCTTTTCAAAAAGGTTGAATTAGAACACACTACAGCAATAGCATATAAGTTGGGGAGTGGGTAGATAGGAGGTTTAACTCTTCTAAGTTTCTTTTCTTGTCTTGAGGAAAGGTACAGGTATTAATTTTAGCTTCTGAGAGATTACATATATATACTATAATATCCCAGGTGGCCATTAAGATAGAAACATAGAACATAAATTCCAAAAAAGCAGTAGAGAAGTCTTGAATAAGATAAAACTAACTAATGGAAGAGTCAAATATAAAGTACAAAATATGATGGTAAATATACATATATATTAGCAACTGCACAAAATATAAGTGGATAAATGTTCCAAATAAAAGATAAAAATGTCAGAATGGGTTTTAAGAAGCTATTAATATATAAATGCATCTACACCAT